CAATTCTCGCTATTAACAAACCATTAACTACGACTTTTGCCTCAATAAACTCAAAAGTTGCTGCTTATTAATAGTTAGTAAGGTAGTTGTTAAGTTTAGGTATTGGGTATGATTAGGGATGTAGAATATGGTCATGCAGAATATGTGCTTTATAAATACTAATAAACAGCCAATATGTTAATAATAGGCATGCTAATAAGCCACTAGTTAATAGTGAGAATTGGTCCCTATTCTAAAGTGTTACCTTTTAATCTTCTAAGTCCCTTATGCTCAACAAGGCTACATTTATTTGATCAAAAATAGTTAAAAACAGTAATACTATGAAATATGATTACTGTTTTAAATAACTGTTTTCTGTTTTAAAGGAGTCATGATGTGGAGAATCAAAATGTTCTTGATATTTACACATAAAACACACGTTTAAGAACTCAAAACTAACTCCCCAGTTTAAATGATCTAATTCTTCTCTGCCCTTCTGAAGCTCAGATTTGATTGGGAGAATTGTGACGTCATGATCGTCATATAAAATCAAGGAGGTGTGATCTAAACCTCATGTCTGTCCATCGATCACAAGATCAATACTGCTGCTGGATAACGATGTTGAGTACAACGACAAACTCAAACGTTGTTCTGTCAGTGGATGTAAAGAAACTGCACTTCCAAAACTTTGCATAGCCTTCCCTAAAGATCCGATCATAAGAAATGCATGGCTGAAATTAATTTTTAATGACGTGTCTGAGCAACTGAAGTTTCTTCTGCCTCTGTATCTGCCAACTGCATTTCATGACCCCTTTAATATATCTTAAAATATGATTTATTCCTGTGATGGCAAAGCTTAATTGTCAGCATCATTACTCCAGTGTCACATGATCATTCTAATATGCTGATTTGCTGAACAAGTAACATTTATTATCAATGTTAAAAACAGCATTTATTAGAAATAGAATCTTTTGTAATGCTATAAATGTCTTTACTTCAAATGTAATGCATGTTTGCTGAATAAAAGTTGTTTTTTTTTCTTTTGAATGGTAGTATATGTAAAAATCGTACTTCGGGGTATCAATGCTTATTTTTTATTTTAATAACATCTAAGAAATGACAGAGCATTGTTAAAAAGCTATTTTTTATTCTTCCTTCTACAGATGAATGACAACCAAATTGATAACTGGGCAGACTTGGACGAACTCAAGAACGCCAAAGGTCTAGAGACTGTCTATCTGGAGAGAAACCCTTTGCAGAAGGACCCTCAATACAGACGCAAGATCATGTTGGCTCTTCCCAGTGTCAGGCAGATAGATGCCACCTTCATCCGTTTCTGATCATCCACCTCATTGTGCCCTCCCTCACCCAAACCATCCACAGCATATTATAAACGCACCACTACCATATTACCCTCATGCACCTCATGGACACCGTATGCCCTATTTATCTCTTTTATTTACTTTTTAACAACAACAAAAAAAGAATCTCCCACTCCCAGTGTTGCCATTCCACGTGCTGGCACCTTTTACTCACACAGAGACTATGACTTGCGTTATAGTGTGAATGCTTGTTAATTTATTTTCAGTTTGAACTCTAAGGAGCTGGCGCCTGTTGTTCGGAATATATATCGGTGCTAAATCTTACTGCCTTTAGCATTTTGGTTAGGAAATCATTTCATCATAGTTATCCCTTCTCTCTTCCATCAATTGAAAATCGGAAATTTCCACCCTGTATGATTTACATCAGGCTTATTTACTATACGAGGTGGTAAAAAGGTCAGAATTCACGTTGCATTCAGGTACTAGAGATGGCTATGAGGAGCTTCTTATTCTTTGATGTGATCAGGGACTGTTTCCGTGAGTGTTATGCTCTTATGGATTCTGTTTGCATATCAGTTCTGTTTCTGGTTGTAGCAGTATGGCTGGTTGAAATGACATGACGCATATTGTTCACTCTTCATTAATGCTGAAAATTATAATGGAATTAATCTCTAATAAACTAAGGTTATGCCACACAATCTTAAGTGATTTTAGGGATTCAACAGAGCAAGGTGATGTCAGGTGATTAGTATTTTTTAACAGTGTCCCTCTGCTTTGCAACAGTTTAAATAAACTGTATCAATAAATCATACAATGTTTGCGTATTTGTATTCTTTAGAATGAAAGCAATTTGTGAAATGTTAAAAATACATATTTAATTGAATTTAAGAGATTCCATGTGTGACAAAATGTGCATGTTCCTACCATACGTCAAAGAGCTATCCTAAGGCCTAACTACAACAATATACATTTTTAACACAAATAAAGTGGTTATATTGTAAATATAAATATAAAACAATACATATTTTATTATATTTTAAGAATGAATTTATGTCTGTGGTGTCAGAACAGTGGATGAAAAGGGATTTTGTTTAGACTACTTTGCAGGTGTTGACTGATCTGAGAGGTGCATGCATGGTGAGTTCATTCTTTCTTATTAATTGAATAAGAATTCATTTTATACATTTTGCAAAATTTCTGACAATTTCATGTGTCAAACTTTATCAGAATGGTGTTATGATCATTGCTTACATATTTTACATAATTTCATCTAAATTTTAATAAATAGTCTTATTATTTTCAAAATATTGCGTCTTCTTGAAAATGGCCCCATTTTAGAAAAGTCTGGATTTGTGTTACTGTTACTGTCTCTCTTGAGAGACATGGTGGTTATAGCGCAATTTTTATTATCATAAACACTGGTATTTTGACTAGAATTAATTACAAATAAAAATGTCCTTACTAGATATTCTAAATATAGCATATTTAGCGAAATATAAATGCATGGTATTCGATTTTATTTTAAGAAGTCTCTGTCTCCTTTGTCATTCCAAATGAAGAAACGTATCTTTAGAAAAATAGTAAACTCAAAGCAAAAACACTTTTTTTTTAACAAAGTGAATGTCTATTGAGAGACATGTTGAAGATTAGCACCCATACCGTTGATTGTTTTCATACAAACAAAGCCGTTTATTCAGCGCACAGTGGAATCTAGTCCGTGATACCACGAATGAACTACATTACCCAGAGATCCAGGGAGGTGACGCATGGAGGCAGATGTAGAAAGAGATCCTATTGGTCGATGCCGTGCATGCGTGCAGTCGTGTTGTTGTCAGTGGCGGCAAGATGGCGACTCTCGGAGACGCATCAGCCCCGGGGGTTAATGGGTTAATACAACAGTTCACAGCCATAACTGGTAAATATTGACAAATTGCATTTGAGGGGAATTTTGCGCAGGCCAGTAAAACACGGGGTCTTCAGAAATGCTATATGTAGGGAAGAGGGCATCATCATTACTGCCCCCTCTATCATGCAAAGGAAAGGTGACGCATGGAGGCAGATGTAGAAAGAGATCCTATTGGTCGATGCCGTGCATGCGTGCAGTCGTGTTGTTGTCAGTGGCGGCAAGATGGCGACTCTCGGAGACGCATCAGCCCCGGGGGTTAATGGGTTAATACAACAGTTCACAGCCATAACTGGTAAATATTGACATTTTGCATTCGCGAGAATTTGTGCACAGCCCATTTCGCTTGAGTAAAACACGGGGTCTTTAGAAATGCTGTATGTAGGGAAGAGGGGATCATCATTACTGCCCCCTCTGTCATGCAGAGCAAAGAGACTAACGAAAGCTTCGGCTAGCTGCTATCTGCACTTGCTTTAATATGGATCTACATGCAAAAGAAAAGAAATCCGAACAGAAAGGGGGCGATGTAATGTAGACTAATTTCTAAAGTATACTGATGGCAATGTAAAACTCTCTCAGACTGAACTTTGAACATGTGGTTGTAGCGTTACTTCTGTTATTTCACCATCGCTACATGTGTAACACCTTTAAATTCAAAACTGACTAGTGCTGCACTGATTTTCACTCTACGATTATTATTCCCACAGCTAAATTTAAATGCTACAGGTTGATTGTGTGTGACTGAATGTTTCCAGCCACCGCGAGTGTGTTGAACAACTTCGACAAGTGTGTCTGTGGATATGAGCCACAGTCCACAACATGGCGGTTTGTGTAGGCTGATTCTCAATCAGTTTGCCGTTTCTCTGTATGCTTCTCACAACTCGCATCTAAGTCAAAGATACACGCATAACCATGATGTTCTTAAAGCACTAAGACTGTTTAGTTTAACTGTCATTGGACGTGTACGCAAAGGCTGCTTTTGAGCATCGCATTATGGTGTGCATCATTTGATAGTTTCGTTTCTGTTGGTCAGAAAATACAAGCCATGTTTCGCAGCTCTCTACTTTTTCGTTAAGGTGAAAGATGCGCTGGTTGTGCGCATGCGCGCTCTCTGAAGGGGCGGGTGTTGAGAACCGAAACGAGCGAACGCTGCTTCTATTTGTCTTTAACGTAATATTACAGATTTAAAACGGCACTGTTATAAAACCATAAGGATTTGAACAAACGAGGTATTTGTATAGGTACTTAACAATGTAACATCTTAATACAGACTGCCTTACCAATATTTACCATGGTTTCCACACCACAATTATTTTAAAAGACCATAATTATACCTTAAGTATTGCATTTTGCCTATTTATTAGTTTTATTTGGCATACGATCATGAAAATAATAACATGGGTCAAGCCAGAAACTCCCAAACACTACCAAATACATGTACACATTATTATGCCTGATGTAATATATTGCAAGAAAAAAATCTATATTTTGGGGGGGGGCTTTCTCACTAGATGGATCGCAAATATATTTTTTAAATGGAAACAGACAGCTTAAGGTTAATGTTTACAAAATATGAACAAAACAAAGTTATTTACAATTCAACTATACCACACTGTAGTGCCGTGTCTCTATTTGGTGAAAGAGCACTGCATTTATTTGTGTTTAAAACATATGATGTCATCATATAATCAAAGGAAATCCTTGTTATTTAGTGTCTGACACTGTTATTTGAAGATTTTTGTAACCGCAGTACCAGTAACGTGTTAACAGTTACATATTCACCTCTTGAAGTGCATATATGCTGTTGATATCTTTGCATGTGTGTGTGTGTTTGTTTGCAGGAGCCACAGAGAGTGTAGGGAAGCATATGTTGGAAGCATGTAACAATAACCTAGAGATGGCCGTCACCATGTTTCTAGACGGAGGGGGCATCGCAGAGGAACCCAGCACAAGTGCCAGTTCAGCCGGGGCGTCCAGCAGCAGACACCCCCCTGTAGAGTGAGTGACTTCATATGACTCACCAAAAGCTCTTGGTCTCAAGCTGCTGTATTGTTTTTTTTGAGTCACTGCATGCTCTGTGCTTTGAGTTTGAATGTTGTGTTCTCCTCTCTGGCAGAGATGATGTACGAGCACCCATTCCTCAGAAGCAGGACATTCTGGTGGAGCCAGAGCCCTTGTTTGGAGGTACAGTTCCCATTTATACATCTTATCTCTCTAACCCAGGGGTTCCTGAACTTTTTTTGTCACCCAACCCCTTAGGTGTAAAATATTTACTTGAAGTACACCCCTGAGATTTGACTTTATTTCAATAATTTATTAACGTATTTGCATGTTCACGGTTTTCTGTTTCCAATGAATGGTCATATGACATGCAAGTACGTATATAAAATATTTAATCTAAGTGTTTTATTCTAACTTTGTAGCTAGACTTTAAGGTGGAAACTTTTTAGTTGTGATAGTGTCTCAGTCCACATTACATTTACACAGTTTTTTTAGAAAACCAGTCAAATTGAATAATACAAATCAACACCATCATCATAAAACAAAAATAATAATAAGTTATTATTATTATTATTATTACTTGGTTTTAACTCTTAATTATAAAAACGAAGACAGAAGTATATTACTGTTGTAAATTAGAAGTGTACAATTTGATAATTATAATAATTCATAAAATGTTCACTTTTAAAAGTTCAAACTGTTAAGCTTTTAACTAGTGATGCACCGAAATGGTTTACTGAAACACAGAAACCGAAATTAAATTTTAATTTAGCCAAAAACACACACAAAAAAGGAAAATTGCCCAAAATGCTTATTTAATAATCAACACTCAGATCAAAACTTGAGTCATATGTAAAGATTTAACTTGTAGTAGCAAAGAGGAGGAGTATGTAGTAAGGCTGTCAAATTGATTAATCGTGATTAATCGCATCCAAAATAAAAGTTTATGTTTGCATGATATGTGTGTATTGTGTATATTTATATGCATATTTAAAATACACACACATAAATATATATTTATATATATTTAAATATATATTTAAGAAATATTTACATGTGTGTGTGGGTATGTATGTATTTATGTATACTAAATATATTTATGTATATGTTATGTAAATATATGTATATTAAATATATTTCTTAAATATACAGTATCTCAAAAAACTTTTTCATTCCGCGTCTAATGTATTGTTGGCTATTGCTACAAATATACCTGTGCTACTTACTGATTTTGTGTTCCAGGCAGGGTTTACATATATTATGTAAACACAAACTTTTATTTTGGCGATTAATCGATTTGACAACCCTAGTATGTAATAGTAAAGGGGAAGAGATGATCAGGTTTATGTGCGCTTCACTACGAAACACGCAGCACATCAGACTATACAGATATTTAATCAAATCCAAACATTTGATAATCAAATGATAAGCTATTTGGCAATTATCATGCAGCCTCAATTATGTATCAATATAATTATTTATTAGCTTTTCATTAACTCTCAAACCCCAATTTGGGAAACCCTGGTTTTGTTTACATAAACAAATAATATCTCTCTCTCACAGTACCAAAGAGGCGTAGACCAGCACGATCAATCTTTGATGGATTTCGGGATTTTCAGACAGAAACCAGTAAGTACATGTGAGGCATTCTGATGGCACACATGGTCTAGTGCTTCCTCTGAAACCCTGCTGTTGTGATGTGAATCTTTAGTGCGACAGGAGCAGGAGTTGAGAAACGGAAGTGCAGTGGACAAGAAGCTGAGCACTCTAGCCGATCTGTTCCGTCCCCCCATTGAACTCATGCACAAAGGCAGCTTTGAGATGGTAAGCTCTACGACTGCTTTAGTAACCCCTTTAGTATTACCAGTAAAACGTCCAGTGATCGGCTAATTTGTGTGCTTCAGTCCTCTGTGTCATTAAAGGGGTCATATGACGTTGCTAAAACTACAATAATGTACAGTATTTGAAAAATAATGTGTTTTTTGAACATTAAAGCATGTCAACATATTCTGTTACACCAAATAAACAAAATAATGATCTTTAAAAAAGCACCATATGACCCCTTTAAGAAATATGGTCTTTTTAAAAAGTTACACATTTAGTTTTTGGGTCCATTTTGACTGGGTATCAACTTTTTTTTGCCTCCGTAAGTTGGATTTGTCTCAAAAATACATTGTAAAATATATTTAGGCTTTCGCTCATAACTCATTCACATTTTCTGGACTGAATTTAGTTTTTAAACATGAATATGCACATCTATATTGATGAACCATTGCAGAATGAGAAATAGATAATCTTTTTAATCTGAAAGTGAAACTTTATTCAAGTAAAATCAGTATATTTTGTTTGAAAATAACAGGGGCCTGTTTCATAAAACAAGTTTACCAAATAAACCAGGCTTATTGTCAGTTGATTTGGTTCAAAATAAGTCGGACTAACTGAAATAAACCTGGCTTATTTGGTAAACTTGTTTTATGAAACAGGCCCCAGGTAACATTTCAGAGCAATATTGATGTTGTCTTCTTAAAAAAAATGAATCTGTAGGTTTCATAGAAACCTGTACTGTAGACTTTATGTAAGAGAGTAAATAATTTCAGCACAGCAAAAATACAAGCTTGTTTATGCTTTTAATTTGTTTTAATTTTAGAATATTCAAGTCATTATCTCTCACTATGTGATTTAACACATTCCCACAATGTATTTTGTCACCTCAGGCGAAAGACTCCGGTCAGCTTGAGAACAAATGGCTGATGATCAACATTCAGAATGTCCAGGATTTTGCCTGTCAGTGTCTAAACCGAGACGTGTGGAGCAATGATGCTGTGAAAAACATCATCAGAGAGCACTTCATATTCTGGCAGGTACATTTACACAGACATATAAATGTCTTCTGTCTCTTTGTCTTCCATGACATTATTTGAATAGTGAATGTGAGCTTTTGAGTTGTTCAGGTAAGCTGTTTTTGCTTCTAGGTGTACCATGACAGCGAGGAAGGGCAGAGGTACATTCAGTTTTACATGCTTAACAAGTTCCCCTATATTTCTATCTTGGACCCACGTACAGGTGAGAGACCCAAGGCAGTGTTGAACTGATTTGTTGCATTTTCTGAAAAATGAGTTTGGATCAATTCATTTCAGATGCCCATGCCAAGTCAAACATAAAATGACTGTGTCTTTTCTATAATGAGCATGTTTTTGATTTAAAAAAATATTTTGGAATCAAAAAATGTCTCTCAAAATGAATACATTTATAACAAGATATATATTTTTATTTATATAAACAGTATTTATGAATTTATTTATTTTTTAATCATGGTAAAATTTTAATACTGTTTTACAAAATGTTATTACGTTTTCTTGATTTTAATTTTTTTTACATGGCATTTACATTAAATTCATTTACGTCATTAAATTTAAAAGCAACATTACAGACTAACTAAAGTTGAAAAAGTGAAAAAGCATAATAGCACCCCTTTAAATGGAAATGTAAGAAATATCTGGGGGGTAAAATAAGCCTCATAAAATGAATAAATTTATAAGAAAATATATATTTTTATGTCAGTGCAAGTTGAGGTTCTAAAACAATATTTATGAATATTTTTTTTAACCTTGGAAAAAGATATGTATTTTTTTTACATGGCATTTACATTCAATTCATTCACATCATTAAATTTAAACGTCTTAAAAATGGAAATGTAAAAAATTGTTTCAACTATATAAAACCAACATAAATTCAGAGAGTACATTGCTAAAAACCTGGCACATGCATTTTGAACTAGATTTTTTATTAAATTCAATGATTTCATACAGTTAATACTGGTGCTTGGCATTAATGTTTGCATGAATTTTATACACCATATACAAATGCAGTTTCTCAAAATCTGAATGAAAATGATTTTTTTTATTGCAGTATACTGGTTTTGCTATAGTTCATGTATATTCATGTATAATATAGAATTTCTTTTTTTAATTGATAAAGTAGTAAGACTAGTAAAAGCATGGTAATAACATGATACCATGAAAGTTTTAAATATTTGCACATTCGCTCATTAATGAAGTGATCTCTCAGGTACCATATGGTTTTATTAAAAATTGTTAAGTTGTGACTGTTTCATAAGCTTGAAAAATTAACAAAAACATTTGTATGCATTATCAAGGTATGGTTAAAAACAACAACAAAAAAAGTATTTTAGGTTTTTTTTTTTTTTTTTTTTTTACC